GCTGGCGGTCCTGCAGCTTGGAGGTAAACAAGTCCTTATTTGGTATTGCCGCATGGGGCTGAGCGCCCTTTGCTTGTACATGCGCAATTGAGCCTTGTCCCTGGCCAATCCCGAGACTGCGGGCATCAGCAGACTGGTATTCACCAATCAGGGCAGTACCCGAGTCCCTTCAACCTATAAAGCAGATGCCGCTTGGCTTTCGCTCTCTCTCTCGCTTTTTCTCTCTCTCTTCTTGTTCTCTTTCACTTCTCGTTCTCTCTCTCGCTTCCTGCTCTCTCTCGCTTCCCGCTCTCCCTTCAACCAAGAGGCTCCAATAAAGTGTGATTTGAGAAGGATCCTCGACTTCGTGGTCGTTCTTCCTTGCTGGTCAAGGGGCGCGCCACACTTGGGAGTAGCAGTGGCCAGGGGATGGGAGCTTTAGGTCATGGGAAAGAGCTATCTTGATGGAGGGAGCCAGTAAAGGGCTAGCGAGAAACATGGCACTAGGGAAGTTCCCAGGAATCCACAAGGAGGACCCCAGCTAAGACTCTAAGCAACAGTGGAGAGGATGCCTAAACTGGCCTTCCCCTGTAATCAGACTGATGACTACCTTAATTGTCATCATAGAACCTTCAATCAGCATCTGATGGAAGCAGATAGAGAGACTTGCAGGGAAACACTGGGCTGAGCTACCAGAGACCAGTCCAGGAGAGGGAGGCACCATAATACAAGGAAGGGGTCAAGACCATGATGGTGACACCCACAGAAACAGCTGACCAGGCTAATAGGAGCTCACTGACTCTGGACTGAAAGCAGGAGAACCTGAATAGGACTATACTAGGCCCTCTGAATATGGATAACAGTTGTGAGGTTTGGGTAGTCTCTGGGGCCACTGGCGGTGTGACCAGGATTTATCCCTAGTGCTTAAACTGGTGTCTAGGAGCACATTCTTTTTGGAGGGATAACTTGCTCAGCATAGATATAGGGGGGAGGGCCTTGGTCTTTCCCGGAAGGGAAGTTTTGGACTTTGTTGACTCCCCATGGGAAGCCTTATATTCTCTGAGAAGTGGATAGAGTGTGGGAGGGAAGGGTGGGACAGAAATAGCAGAGAGAGGGGGAATAGGGATAGCTATGTAAAATGAGAAAATACTAATACTAATATCAATACTACTACTACTAATAATAATAGTTAAAAAATCGCTCTTACTACTACAAAGAAAAATAAAGTCACATAGAAAATAAAGGGAGTAAAGTGCCCAAAGTTTCAGTGTTCAACTAAACAGCCACCCGTCCTCACAGCTTTGGAGACACATGACCTTATCAACTGCTCCATGCACGGAGCACATGTGGGCCTAAAGAAGTCTTTCTGCTGGGATTTGTTGGTGCCCTAGCAAGGTGAGGGGTCAGGGGAATTGGGGGCAGCAAAACTCCTGCCACTCTCTTAACTTCAGGCCAGCCTTGCAGTGTTTGATATTAAACTCAGATACTTTGTGTGAAATAAGGACACAGCATATTAATTAACTTCTGGTCACTGTGACATTTTATTTGACCGAGTATAGTGGAGGCAGGATTTATTCTGGGTCTTAGCGCACTGCTCATACCCTATCATGGAGGAGAGACCATGTTGGTAGAACGGCCACATAGCTATGGCACTGGGAGGTAGCCAGTCACATTGTATCCACTGTGAGTAAGCAGAAAGCAGACAGGAAGTGGACAGAGCTATGTGTGCAGTCTGCCCCCAGTGACACACTTCTTCAAACTCGGCTCCGACTCCAAAGTACCACAGAATCCAAACGACACCACCAGCTGAGAACCAAATGTTCAATCATGCCAGCCTGTGGGAGATATTTCATATCCCCACCATAACACATCCATAACTTCACTAACAGAAACTATGATTAAATTTAAGAAAAAATGTTGTTTTTGGATGCAGAGTTATATAGTCTTTAATTATAATCCCATGAATCTTATAGATGAATCAAATTATGAATCAATTAATCTTATGGATTAATCAGCCCTTGTGATTAATGAAGTATAGGTGTAATAATTTCTAATAGTTTCCATTTTAGGGTTTCCCACCAGTAATTGATTTTAATGACACTGAACACAATAAATATTTCCTACTGGAGAATCATAGAAGTTGAGAAATAAGACTACACATGACTGTTCTAATTGGTGCTTTTAAAAACTTTTTTCTATGTGTAAAACCTCGTAATTGTTGCCTGTTCCTATATGAATTTAGAAACAAGACAGCTGTGTTCATACTTATAAATTTTATGATACCATCAAATGTTTGCATTGAGCCACTAATTTCACAGCCAGGCTGTTATAAAATCATGTCCAGAGCAAAGATGTTAATGTACAATTTTAACATAAATTCTTTTAAAAATATGAATATTCTGAATGGGTACCCATTCATATATTCCATAGATATATAAACAATAAACAAAAACAGTTAAATGTGTGCAGCTTTCTAAGAAAATGAATCAGGAATTTTTAGTACTGTTGGGAAATTTTAATTTTGGGCAGGGTAGCGACAACAAATGTTGGATTGTGACAAAGGATAGTTAGCCAGAACAAGAGAATAGTTAGAGATTATTCATAAAAGATGGCATCATATCAACACTGCAAAACCCATATTTACAATGATTCCTGTGTCCAAAGTCCAACCATTACACACTCATCAGTCACACCCTTCCTACATGCTTCCTTCCATTTAGGGCTAGATTCTTAAGATGAAAGCTATTATTCAGTCTAACCATAAAATATTTGAAAACCTCTTCATGTGTATATTGCCTACACAAATTATCATAATCAAACCTTTTCTCACATGCTGGATTCTCTCTAGAAGAAATATATCTCACCCTGTCTGATTTCATCCCAAGCAACCCTACTCGAAAAGCATGACAACTTTTCAGAAGAAACCCAAGGTACGATAATGTGTAGAATGTGTCACATAAATAACCTGGAAGATGGGGACGTGAGGCTTAGCTTGTCTCTATCCCACAGGTTCTGACAGACATCTACATATCAGTTCTTAAAAGGTACATGTGAGTACTTACAGATGCACCTAAAGTGTGTATATATATTTTACTTCATTATTAAGTTTGTGATGTTTGTAGAAAATATAGTCAAGAAAGAAATCATTATGATCTGGTTAAAATGAAAGTTGGTATCAAATATAAAATTGAGGTATTAGAGCAAAGGTTTCACTGTTACCATAATAAATATCCATTCAACAAATAGTTATTGTATTTTTGTGCAGTGATTATTATAATAGGAAATATAGGACTTATCTTTTTGTAAAATAAGGATAGAAATGTTTTCCCTCATGGAACTTTCATTCTTGAGGGAAGAGAGGAGTGATAAAGACACCAATTATGTAACAGCAGTTCTAGGATATGTATGTATTTCTTAGGACACTGAATTGGTTGTCACATGGCTCAAGTGTTTCCATGGTAATGAAACATCTATTTTGAATGCATTCTATACAATGTTGCAGAAGCAGTATAATTAGACACCTCTCTGAACTTAGAGACTTCAACACATATTTAAGAGATATGTCAATAGAACCCAAAAGGAGTGATGCCCCAAAGGTCACACGCAGTTTCTATTCTTGCCAGTAAGTACGAAAATGACAGAGGAAAGACACACCTCACACCAAACTTGGACAGAAGGTTGATGGCTTTGGAAATCCACATGTACTGAACAGCTGGAGCATGTGTGAACAGCTGGTCTTTCTATTGGGCTAGTGAGCCAGGAGGAGGTGTAGCTTATAGATAGCTTGGACTAGGAGGCAGCAGTGTATATAAGAGTTAAAATTAAGCCTGCTTTAAAACTTGTTTTCACACTTAAAAATGGGAATGCATTTCATAATCTCTAGTGACATCAATAAAATCTACCCAAGTTAAAAAGAAATCAGAAAGAAGACACAAAGGTAGATTTAAATTCTTGAAGTACAAGGTTGACACTTGCTATAGCCTCGGTGATAAGACATACTGGAAAGTTTTGCAGAGCTCTGAATTAGAGGTGTATGGCATCTGGACATGATGTGGACATCAAAAAAGACACTATACAGTTTTCTCTCTTATGTCTGGATCCAGAGGACCCAAATTGAATGTACAGAGATCTTATTTCTGAGCAAGTGTTTATTTGAAAACCATTCATTTTGTAAAAGTTCATGAATCTATCTAAGAACACAGAATTACACCATTCCTCTCATTTGGTCATGCTGGATATCATCAGTAGCAGGTGAAGTAATTTTAAAATTTTCTGTTCATTTGCTAGATAAATGATTGTAGATTTCTATGTGGCACTCACACCAAACTCCCTACCCATGGGAACAAAGATAACACAGTGTGAGTTAGCTATGTAGATGTTTGATATTGTTCACTGAAGTATTTCCGAGATAATGTGACCCATCGTGACCTCACTTCTATACCGACTATCACTGTTAGGTCACACACTCTACTTTCTAGTCTTTGTCTTCTGGGCATCAATACCACAATACACAATGCCATCAATAATAACAGCAAATATAATGTCAAGGTCTGATACACACACATGGCATTTCCAAGTAAGGAGCCTGAGTTGTTTTCAGAGACATATTCCTGAAAATAAAGACTCACGGCCAAATGGTATGCGCAGAGAGAGAGAGGTCTCCATCAGGTCCAGCTGCTCTGAGCTTGGGGAACCACATGGAAAAGGGGGAGGAAGTATTGAAGGAGTCAGAGAGGAAGAAGGACACCAGGAGAGCCTGACCCACCAAATTAGCTAAGAAGATCTCATGAGGGCCCAAAAAGACTGAAGCAGAAAGCATGGGGTCTGCATTGATCTGCACCAGGTACTCTGCATAGTGTTATGACTGTCCGTTTGGTGTTTCTTTGGGACTCCTAACCATGGAAAAACTGTATTTGCTGGCTCTTTTGTTCTATTGTGTTGGATTGTCCAGCCTTGATAGGAGGGATTATGTCTTGTCTTACTGTATCTTGTTTTGTCCTGTTTGGTTGTCATGCCTTGAAGACCTGCTCTTTTCTGAAGAGGAAACAGAGCTGGGGTGGGTCTAAGTAAGAGGAAAGCTTGAGGCTGGCTGGGAGGAGTGGAGGGAAGGGAAACTGTGGCCAGGATGTATTGTATGAGAGAAGAATCTAATTTCAATATACAGAAGGGAATGAAACAGGATAAGCATGCCTCTTACATGGAAGTTAGTATGTTCTTGTATACCTTTATCATAATGTAATAGGAGTGCCCCATTTCATCCTTCACAAACATCATTGGTCAGTGTTTCTGTGGCTATAACTTCAATGTTGAGACAGGAATCTACTGTGATAGCTACCTAGCAGAACACATGTAAGTGTCATTTGTGATAAAGCTAATGTCTTTGGTACTTGATTTGTTCTGGTCCCATGTTGAATTCTGACACAGGGTCTCACTCTGTAGTTCATTCTGACCCAAGTCTCTTCATCCTCCTCTCAACCTTCACTGTGCTTAGTGGTAGGATGCCACAACACCTGGTTCAATGGATTACACGTGACAATTTTCATTGCTGATGATACTGGGTCTACCACGATTTCTGAGGAAATAAGAACAAGAAGAGAGATCCACAAAGTAAAAGTGGGTTAGCTTCATTTTAAAGAACACACACCACATTCTTTTAGTGTTAACTTGGACATGGTTAAGGAGATAGGTATTTTGACTATTTGGCTCCTGCCTTCATTTTAATTTATAATCTCAAACAGATTTATTCAGTTTCCAACATCCATTATTCACCTTACTCTTGTGATTGTATGAGAGGAAGCTTCTACAGGGACTAGGGACTTTATTCCCACATTCAATCCTCAGTATGACATAGGTGTTTGTCACCAACTCCTTTCTCTGGGATATTTCTTATATTTACCTCTGTGTTCCAGGTTAACCAAATTTGTTAAGTGCGTATAATGAGTTAGTAGAGCCACAGTGCATATATTAAAGCAATCTTGTGGTTGTATAGTGTCATGTTTTATTCTCACTGATCTGTTTGTCATCTGTGTATACTGAAACCTATCTCTGGATTTTGAATAAGTCATTAATTTTTTCCTATTGCTATCTGCAACTAGAGCAGCAGCATACACCCATGACTAGCTTACTGCAGTACACTTCTGTCTCCCCATTGCTGTAACCAAGGGAGAAGATGACTACTGGACTCTGTAAAAGATGTATTGGGGTACATCTACCATATCATGATAGAGGTAGCCATGGACATACTAGCTTTCCTGTTAGTATGCTTATTGAAACTGCATATTGATATTGCCATTATTTCAGTTCTTCATAGGAGAGAATGCTTGTGAGGGTTCTTACTTGTATTTTGACTTTTACAGTATTTCCAGCCCCTCTTCACCAATGTTCCCCGAGTCATAGATGCAGGGATTGTAATGTATACGTACTCAATGTGACTTAGCACCACGTGGTCCATTGATCTGTGCATTGTACTTTGTATTGGTTTTCTGTAATGGTTTTTAAATGCTGTAAAGAAGTCTTCTTTGATGGGGGCTGCTAACTACACCCATCTGTGGTTATAACAATTATACTTATCATATGATAAGGAATTATACGCTTTTGTAAAGTATTAGTAGTAGATTCTTTTCTAAGCACCTTAGTAGTACCTGAAATTGGCAAGGCTTCTAGTATCAGGCATGATATTCCTCCTATTTGGATGGAGCTCACATCCAATTAGACAGCTGTTGATTACCACTATTATGTGAGTGTCGTTTATTGCACCTCCACGGGTATTTCATTGTGTTAGTAAGTGCTGTGGTTCATAGATGTTGCAGCTGGGTAAGGTTTTTATGGCTTCTCTCCATGGCAGCTTGTCCTGGACCTTTTGGTAGCATGGAGGCTTGGCAGCAGGAAGGAGGCTTTCAGAATAGATCCAATCAACAGATCTGAGATTTGTATCCTAAGTGTGCAGTGTTTTCAGCAGTAGCAGCTCCCCTTCAACCTTTGAGAAGCAACCAAGGGCTACATCAGTAATCTAAATTGTTTGGAGAGTCACTTGGACTTCCCTGACCAGCCATTCAGAAGCAAGTTTCTCATGCCTGGTACTGGATTTTTTTTTCCTAGTCTATGATTCTTGTGGGGGGAATATTATCGTCTCAAGTGACATAATTTCCAAATATATAAAATAATTTGATTCTTTTATGCTTTGTCAAACATGCTTGACATTCTTTTTACTGTTCTCATTTTTTTAGACTAGATTATTACATAAATAACATTTTATGTCCTATTATAGGATGCTTGCAGTCAGATTTTTCTTTTATTGCTGGGGATGGATCCAATGTCCTCCCACAATCTGGGCAAGCGCATTACTACGGAGCCTGCCAGTCATGCTTAACTTCTCTTTTGTGAATCAAAGCATTGTTCTTAGGTTACAGTGAGAATCGGTTTTCTTGGATTATAATGACAATATTAAATCATTTTTATAATATATTTTAAGATAAAACATTACATGGTTTATCCCTTCCCTTTCTTTCTTACAAGTCCTCCTATTTCTCTCCCTCTCAAAGAGATGGGCTCTTGTACATGTTTATAAAGACACAAATATAGGAATACAATTTTCTGTCTCCATTTTTGTTGTTCGTGTGCATATGATTTCAGAACTGACTATTTTGTATTGAATAGCCAGCTAGGGAGATCATCCTGAAGTAGGCTTATTCTCCCTCTCAATAGTCATTGACTCCATGTAGTTCTTTGTCTAGCAGTTGCAACCCATGAGATTCTTCTTCTCCTGAGTTACCGTGTCTATTGATGCTGCCGTTGTTTGAGTCTTGCTTAGGCAGCCATTTGTAGGAGACACAATCTCAGAAGAGTTCCTAGTTTTCTGCATTTTACCATCTTTTCCTCCCTTCTTTTACAGTGTTCCCCGAGTCATAAATGCAGGAATTTTGTTTTATGTGGTATCCATTAGTGTGAGGATCCCGAGTATCCATTATTTCTGCATGGTGTCCAGTTGTGGTTTTCTCCAATGGTCATCAGTTGCCATATAGAGAAAGTTATAGGAGAAATTGCAGAGTTTGCTTAGAGATTATGTTTGTCTACCAAAGTGGAAGTTGTAGGCTTTCTTCTAACATCCATGACCTCACTCACTTGTTAGTGAAATTTCGAGTAGAAGACATGATTTCCCTCCTGTTGAATACACCCTCAGTCCAATCAGACAGCAGTTGGGTATTAACAACATATGGGTGCCACTCTTATACTTGAAGGGTATTTTCCATGCTGGTCAATTCTGAGGTTCATAGGAATCACCTGCTTTTTAACTTTTTTATCCTCATGTTTGGAATGTAAGGGTGATGGAAATTATAAAATCACAAAAATTTAGAAAGAGTAAGATGAGATATAAATTAAGCTTAGAGGATATATATAGCTCTAGTAAAAGCTAATGAGGTAATGAATTTCTATTTTGAAGCCCTACTTTTAAATAATGTATACAAAGTGACTTTAATAGTTAGAATTTGATCTAATTATGGGTGAGTAAGCAGCATGAGTCTTAAGTAGGAAGCTCATTAGATAGTGGGAATTAATAGTTTGCCAAGATCCCTACTGCCAGAGATGCCTATTAATAGAGTGGGCTTTAATGGTTTAAAATTTACTCTGAGTTATGCTCTACATTGTTTGGGTGATACAACTTTTCTCTGCAGAACTGTAGGAATGAAACACAGGGACAATGTGCATAGAAGATCAAATTCTGAAAGCCTTATAAGTGAGGTAGGCAAGGAGACCCACATGAATCACTCAGAAAGTCCTTAACCACAGCAGTCTCTGCATGGTGAGGGACAGAGTGAGTCCCCAGACATCTTTTCTCAAGTGGGCACATGAGTAGGGTTTGTTGGCTAGAACTCAAGTCAGTGGTGAAGTTAATGACTTATTTCTGTGTCTTCACTTAATGCCTACCTTGAGCTCCCAACGTGGAGAAATTTGAGCCAGAGAAGCTTAGCGAAAGCTTTAAAGTCCAGGAACTGGTCAGGTGACTCTGCAAGTAAAGGTGCTTGCTATTATGCCCATGAAACTGAGACTAGTCTCCAGAATCCTGGATCCTGCAAATTGTCCTGTGACTTTCATATATTTTTTGGCATGTGTGTGAATATGAATGCAAGTTCATACACACACACACACACACACACACACACAAACGAACAAACATGCACATTCATACACACACACACAAACTCACAAACATGCACATTCATACACACACAAACTCACAATCAATGAATAAAAAAATCAGTGCAAGATGAAAACTTAGGTAAAAAGTTATTAAAGTTATTTCGATTTGATTCTGCTCTAACATGAGTCAACTTGGCTTTTAAGAACTGACCTTGGTCTTACACATGTTGTCACAACAGCTGTGAGTTTATGTGTGTAACTTAGCTGTGGTGTCTAGGGAACAGATTCTTCCTACTCTGGCTTTTATAGTTCTTCCAACCCCAATGCCTCAGGGGCCCCTTAGGAAGAGGGAATGCTATACAACTGTCCCATGTGGGGCTGAGACACCCCCCCCCAACCTCAGTTTCTCTGGGCAGGACAAATTGGAATTGATGAGTTTTGGTTGTTTAACATCTTTTATCTTTTGTTTGTTTTTTAAAAAGACACAAAGTTAGGTAGAAAAGGCGGCAGGGAGCTGGGGAAAGGGGATGGAATGTGATCAAAATGCATCACACAAAATCTTCAAAGTACTGGAAAAAGAAGAATTGATCCAGGACTAGAGAAATAGTTCATGGTGAAAATAAAAAAATATTCAAGAATTTCGAGACTCATTATCATTGAATGAGGAAAAGCTAAGCATTGCTTGCTTGATCCTTGTTGCTATCTCCTTTCTCTTGTTTTCCAACTCTTTCTCATGTTTTTGTTTCTATTATGTTATTGCTAAACACTCTGGCTCTTTTTCCTCTTAGTGTATGATTGTATTTCTGTAGATAGCCTGGTAATCGATATAAAAATACTTGTCAAGTCAACTGTACAAGCCAGTATGCTTTCACAGGGTACAGTCATCATTATGACCTTCTCTCCCCTCAAAGAATCTTTCTTCAGGTCTAGCCATTGAGGAATGGAAAAATTGTTCTTCGAGATTACGTATTTGACAGACATAAAGTGAATCCTGTGCCATATTAGACAAATGATGAATGTATCACGTCTGTCCTAAGGAGGATTCTCTCATTATTTTCACTTCCTTCCTCTAATGTTTGACAGTGTTATCCCCTATGCCATGGTGTTGAGGTTGATGATGGAGAATGGGAGACATGAACACCTCCATTAGGAGGAACAGGTGCTGCTGTTGCAAACGTAATGCTTTCTCATGAGAAATCCTACTCCCTTTTCTTTTTTAAATAAAGTCCTACTATTTTATCATCTTCAAAATTCACTTACAAACAAGCATAAACTTTAGTGGGATATATGGAACTTTGTGTCAATTTTCAGATGCTAGAAAATGTACATGATTTGACTTTTATGCTATGGATTTGTTTTTAGAGTCAGAGGTTTTCATTCCTAAAGTCCATCTCATGGGATTTATCTGAATTCCAATATAGGAAGTTGATTGTTTATTAAACCATTTCTGGATTTAAAGGTACTATCTTTCTATCGAATTTGTGCTAATTATATCTTACTACCTTATTTCTGTTTTATTTTCATTAGGAAAGTCAAACTCAACAAGCATATCAAAGAAGATTACAAAATAATTTTTCACAGTCAACTGAGTATTCAATGTGAACTTATCAACCCCCTTTTCTGCTCTGTGGACTTTCATCTCTTCTGCTCTTAGCAGGTCCAGACTGAGTCCCCAGCCCCAGGAGGAAGTGTCCAGTGCTCATCAGTGCTGTAGCTGATCTGTAATCTGACAGAAACTGCAACATGCCGGTCACAGGCAATTCACTTAGCTTAAAATGGAGCAAACATAAAAACACAAACAAAATGTCTTTGAATGGGAAGGTGTTTAGGATAGATGGACAAGAAAGACATAGCAGCCCTCATGCTTACGGCCAATGGCTCTAAGGGAACACACATGTAGGAAACATGCCCTCCTATGATCCCTACCTAATAGTATTTGTTGAATGATCACATCAGAGTGGCCATATAGGTGATACACACATAGTAGAAAAACTATAATTCTATACATGCTTTTGAGACAGTAACGTACTCTAATTATTGAGCCAGCTTATTTTATGAAGACTTCACTAACCCTACTCAAACAACTTTTTGAAGTGATTTTATCATGGATATTTCCAAATTACAATTGTAATGTTTGTTTAATCGCATTTAGAAATAATTATATTTTTAATTTTTTATATTTATATATTATAATTTTGTATATTTTTCTATAAATGTATTTATAGAAATATATAATACATATAAATATAATATATATAAGTATGTGTTAAATATGTTATTTTTATCATTATACTTTATATGATGGTGATTCTATTAAATCTTTGCACAGGGGAGTTCATTATCATGCATAGTAAATTGATTTTACAGTAGACTTGATGATAACAGATGAAGCCTCAAAAGGGTGATACTATACAATGTGTTTGTAAATTGAGAATTAATAATGCATTTAGAATTATCTGGCCACCTTGAATTGCAGTTTCTTGTATGGTTATACTACTTGTTGGAAAAGTCGTCACAAGATCCTAGAGAGATGACTCAGGGATTAAGAGTTTTTGATGTTCTTTTGGAGAAACAAGTTCAGTTCCTAGCACCCATATCAAGCAGCTCACCTAACCCATGATACAGGGCTTCTAACACCTTATTCTGGGTACTATAAGCACCCACATATCCAGGAACATACCTGAAGCCTGCACACGTGTACACACACACACACACACACACACACACACACACGCATGCATGCATGCAAGCATGTGTGTGCATACACATGCACATATACACCACAAATAAATAAAAATTAACCTCTTGAAAAATCATGACAAACTCTGAACTGGTTCTCAAGTACAGAATTCAATTGAAGAAAGCTTATTAAGACCCATTCAATGTAGCAACCATAGCATTGATTTAAATAAGAATCTATCCTCTGACATAGACCCCTTCAACATTACTGTCTACAGATCACTGACTTTATTGTCAACAGTTGTTTCCACAGTTAAGGACAATAAACCATATCTTAGACCTGTATAAATCCCAGAGCTAATGTCTAAACAACGAATTTTAGTCTATTAGGAGCTGTAGTTTCCTGAGAGAACAACTAATTCAGAAGTAGAGTTTAGTCTGGGGATGCATGTATTTTAGCAATGCAAATACCAAGCAAGAGGGTCCACACTAGAAATATACAAGCCACTTTTCTAGGGTTGAAGAAAGAATGGCAGAAGAATAGATAATCCTAAGGTTGATCAGACAGTAAAGTCCAGAACCATCCAGTGGTCAGTAAAACAGTACCTCAAAGTCCTGGGGAAATAACAAAAATCAAGTGAGACTCCCTTCAGGGAGCAGCAAAGTATGTTACCACAGAAGAAGATCTTCCATCCATCTGTCTAGCTCTTCTTTATCTACATATATTCAACACTAGAGGAGACAGTGGGAAGTTAGCCTATTTCCAAATACAGCATCTGTTTACAGGGCTAATCCTGGAAAATTCTCAGTAAAACAGCTTAGCAGTCTCAGTCTGTGCTTAGTTATTTTAGATTTCCCCAGTCTGCCAGTGAGAGACAGCTTAATAGTAGCATCTCTCCCTTGTGCTTGTTTGGGCCATCTGTCTACTGTGATAAAATACCCCCTCATCTCTCCAGCCCCAATTGTTTGTGTGTGCATGTGTGTGTGTGGGGGGGATGTATATGTGGATGGGTGTTTCCATGTATGCTTAATATAGGTGAGTATGTTTGTGTATGTGTACATGTGGGTGAATGTGCACATGTATTTGTTGTTCAGAAGTCTCCCTCTATCGCTGTCAACCTTGTTTTATGAGACAGAATCTATTTTGGCTAGACAACCTGGCGGTATACCCCAGGATCCTTCTGAACCCACCTGTGTGCTGTTAGGGTTCCATCCTCAGCCGTTTTGTATAGGTGCTGGGGACACAATCTCCATCCCTCAAGCTTGCAGCACGAGCTCTCTCCTCCTGAGCCTTGCTCTAGTCCTGGTATTGTGCTCTTTTTCAACTGTGACTAAACAATGCTCCTAAAGAGAAGTAATGTTGCTGGCATGGTAATCCAGGACATCGTACCCCTTGACTGTCCTCTGTGCCCCAGAATGTCAGCGTTGGGAGAGAAGAAACCAGAGGTGCTTTCCTGGAAACAGCTCTGCTTAAGGCATGCAAAAGAGTCTACTGGGGAATGAAGCCCATGCATAGGGACAAAGAGCTACTGTCAACTGTAGGTATAGCGTGCCAAGTTGCAGACAGCAAGATCTTTTTGTGTGTGTGTGACTTGGGTCAGCTTCTTCAACTTCAGTGTTCCCTGGGACAGAATTTGGATACAAAGCAATTCAGAAAGTAGTCTCCATTGTATGCTGATGTGTGGAGCTATCAATGAATGCTATATGTACACAGGAAACATTCTGCAAAACTTCAGCTCGACTTTTCTCATCTCCTGTGATTCTGAGATTCCTCAGGCATCATCTGGTCCTAGAGGTTCTCAAATATTTCATTTTGCTGAGGAGATGTCTTATTATGAAATTCTAGGTCTGTGTCACCTTTGCTGAAACTGTTTCTATGGCTTTCATGTGCTCAAGTGTTTGTTAATCTTGATAGATATCACAGGTGACAGGAAGAGCCTTGGTTAATCTGTACTTAAATCTCTCATTTAATATTAGCATCTCACTAATTACTCCATGCTACTAAAAAGGTCATCCCCAAAGATACTTGCTGCATACCGACACCCATATTGGAATTTTAGTATTTCACCGCTTAAAGCCTTAAAAGTCAGCAGGCATCTGAGAAGGAATCAATATGTAGAATAAATAGGATCCCAAGCTGCGTGCTGAGGAGACGCCTGGAGTAAGACAGAACAGAGCTCACAGGCCTCACTGTAACTGACACATTGCTCTCATCTCTTGTCAGAGCCCATCCCTTTCACTCCTTTTCTCCCACTGCGATGATTTTTTTTGCAGACTGTAAGGCCATCAAATGGCCAGCCTCCAAGTAAAGTATTGCCTGATGGGTTTCAGTGACTCTCTCCTTTCGACCTTACCATTCAACAACAAAGCTCTCCCATTGGCTGGGAAGTCTTCTCACATTGTCTGATGTCAGGCCAGGCCCGAGTCTGTTGCCCTAGGCTATTAGAGAAAGATCTAGCATTGTTTCCACCCCCTGCTAATGTAACAGTATCTTGTGTTAGATGGGTAAGGCCTGCTCAACTACAGGTATTTGTTTCAAAGAATTTTATTAATACAGATGACTAAAATTGAAATTCCTTCTAAATATGTCTAGGAATGAATATTTTAAAAAAATAATGTATATAATGAGATAGTTACAATTCCCAAAGGGTCGGGAGTTTTCTGCAGTCGATGATAATAGATGAACTAATGAAACCAGGTTATATGTTTTCCTGATTTATTAAGTTCCACCTTGGTTAATTATTATGCACATTGTAATTAATCCTTCTGGGACATTTCTTCCATTTGTGAGATTCCATGTGTGAGAATCCTAGACACAAAACCGATGTCGCTGATTTACGCCCCTGTTTAACCCGACACATCACAGAGCCAGGCCTGTCGTGCATGGCGCGGTCACAATCTCTGCATACCAATATCCTTGGTGACTCAGAGTGGACACAGATGGTAATCATCTCAAGTTCAAATTTAAGATGACTTCTGTGGGTTTCAAAATCACTAAAACTGTTAGTCCCTCTAATTTGGGCTCAGACTCCCACAGCACATTCTTCTTGCATGAGATAGAAATCTAAAGGCATAATAGGTATTAATTACCATTTCCTATGCTCATCCCGAGCTTGAAAGCAATTTATCATTCCCTATCTCATTTGTTCACAATATAAATAAAAGATAAAGGGCTTTAGTTCACTTTCATTACACGATGTTTCCACGACTTCTTTTCATATCCTTTGATTTCTCTGTATGAAGCTTTGCTTACCACCCATTTTGCTTAGCCTTTGTTCTTCGGCACTGTTTAAATGAAAATAATTTTGTAAGTATGGCAACAGTCACCTTGGCCTGGGAAGTGCTAGAATGAGCAGAGCGTTAGCATTTCCAGTGTTGTTTAGAAAAATGGCACTTTTGATCTTAGACATAAAGGAGAATTTCACCACTGTAGCCCTTCTCTTTTCCTGTTGTTCTTTCCAATGCTTCAATTGTTAAATTTAGGAGTATTGTTTTTCCACTAACTTCCAGAGAATTAATTATGTAGGAGCTATGTATGTGTGTCATGTTAGGTAGATAGATAGATAGATAGATAGATGATAGATAGATAGATAGATAGATAGATAGATAGATAGATAGAAATAGATATATAGATAGATCAATGGATGGATAGATAGATGGGCAAATACATAGGTGGATAGATAGACCAATTGATCAAGAGATAGGTAGATACGTTGATACATAGGCAGATAGGTGGATATAGAACAGATTTAAAAAGAGACAGAAACAGAGGCAGTGGCAGACAGAACCATTCGGAGCGTTTAGAAACAATTTCAGATCAGTGAGGTCAGTTAGTCCTACCCCCAACTCAGTTTCAACAATGAAATTGAACAGCACAAGTTTGTATCATTGTCCCTCTTTGCTCTACTAGCCTTTATTCATGCTTCAAAATGAATATTGTTTTTAAAAGTGGGTATTTCTTTTACAATATTCTTTTTTTTTAAATTTATTTTACATCCTGCCATCTCCTCCCTCCTCTCCGCCCACACCCCACTGCCACCTCCCTTCCTTAGTCCACCCCTCATTTGTTTCTGTTCAAGAAAGGGGCAGGGCTCCCATGGGCATCAGAAAACCATGACATATCAAGCTGCCATAAGACCAAGAACTTCCCTCTGTATTCAGGCTGGGCAAGGCAATCCAGCTGAGGAATAAGCCGACCCTAGAACCGGGGACAGCCCCTACTCCCATTGCCAGGGGTCCCACAAATAGACCAAGCTATACAACAGTCACATGCATGCCAGGGGCCTAGGTCACTTCCACGCAGGCTCTCTGGTCGTTGGTTCAGTCACTTTGAGCCCCCATGAGCATCCTTTTTATGTAACTTCACACTCTATTCATTCTTACTGTGCAACTGCTGCCTGAATCCATGACGGAGATTCCCTCATCCGTACGCTAGAATTGAACGCCTGTGCAGTCACTCTGTCTCGTGCGTGAAATGATTTTCAATTCTGAAAAAAATATGTGAAAGAAGGACTTGGAGGAATCCCCTGTCTATCTACCAGAATCTGTTCTTTTCTACTGGCATTTGCCTTGACTCTGGTATCAGCAGATGAACGATAATTCCCTTTAAGGAGCTGTCTGTATAGTGTTGCGTTAATCACATCCCGTTTCTGGATGTGAAGGACATCTAATGGAGGCACTTCAGCTATGGCGAAGGGCACAGTGAAGAAGAGGTTGCTCTGTCACCTCCAAATAGTGTAATTGAAGCAATTAACATCTTTATCTGCTTAGAGTCTCAGCTCTTTATTTTCAGATAAGTTTTTATTCCAACCACTTGAAGACAAAATTACATAGTGACCAAGATAGACCAATACTGATAAGTCATTTAAACACTAGGGCCAAGTGCTTTTTCTTTCTTTCTTTCTTTTCTTTTTTCTTTTTTTTTAGGGGTCTAGGATCAGCAGAAATGAGGTTTCCAAATATTTCTTCTTACAATATCACATTTTCCTGGCACTCAGAAGCCATTATTAGTTACAATAGCCTGCATCAGTTAATTTTGACATGACAAAAGCAGGATGCCAAAAATTGGAGAGTCTAACTTATGTAACATGAGGGCCTGCTTGTTGGGGTTTCTGCCCTGCCCAGTTCTCACAGCTGGCAAGTCCCAAAGAAAATCACACAGAAGTTGTTATTCTTTTGGTCTGGTCCCTTTAAGGGCAAGCCACACCCACTCCCAGCCACTTCTGACCCTCTTGTCGCCATCTTAACCCCTCCCTTCTGTCCCCCTCTCTTGGCATATGCATATGTGTCTCCTCTATGTCTGTCTCTATGTCTCTCTGTCTCTCTGCCTTTTCTTTAAGTAATAAATGTTCATCTTTATATTCAGCCTTATGTTTATTTATTATGTCCTGTAAGCCTTTTATCTGCCGCACCTGGTCACCCGCCCGCCTGACTCTCCTGGCCACATGGCTGGTATCAGCCTGTCTGGGACGCGCTCCCGCTAGCTCTGCCACTCACTGCGGGGAACCTGCAATGCTCTGGCCGCAGCTTCAGCCTGGCTCGCAGACTGCTCAGAAAACACTCCAACATTATATTTTTAAAGAATAAAAGAGGTCTCCATAAAATTATAAACTGATTGGCCCATTAGCTCAGGCTTCTTATTAGCTCTTGTAGCTTATATTAACCCATTATTCTTATCTATATTAGCCACATGGCTTGGTACCTTTTTCAGCGGGGCAGGTCACATCTTGCTTCTTCTGTGATCTGGGCAGGACTGCTGTTAGAATAGCACATTTTAAAATGTTTGGCTTGTTTGATTCATTCTTATTTTTGCTTATGAGATATGTAGTATCTAGAAGACAGGAGAATGCCAAAAGGTGATATTGTTTAGAAGACCTGGCAGAAAGCTACATTTTAATGTGCTTTTGCATCTTTCCATATATTTTGAGATACTGAGTTAATTTTTATGTCCACATATTAAGCACATATACTGACCTATGCAATTATGCACATTTATACACATAGCTGTAAACAAGCATTATAAAGTTCATTTTAATAGACTTAAATTTTCTTATAATCATGTCTTATAATTGTATATAAGAAGGGTATATTCTTTTTATTATAATTTTTCTTTCATTGGTGTGGCACAATAACTGGCTGAAGCAAATAAGGAAGGGTTAATTTTTGCCTAACAGTTTGGAGATACAGTATATTGTGGAGATGAAGGGATGAGGGCAGGATCATGGTGCATCTGGTTATATTATACCTGTTACCAGGAAATTCCTTTGGTTTTTCTTATTTAGGTGATGACCCCAGC